GTATATCTAGGTGTTGTAGTGTAAAAGTGCAAGGAAATCCAATCTCTAAGCACAAAACTCAAGCAATATAGAGAGAAAGAGAGGTTTTGCCCTTTCAAAAGTCAGAACCCCTGGCAAAGAGGGAGCCCTCTTGTTTATATAGAGAAATGCCAAGTCAAAGCTTCTTCAAGAAGCTTTACAAGGGCTTCATCCCTCCATACACGTATATGGAGGGGAGCAAACAAAAAACCAGCTGGCTCAAAAGATCTGGAAGAAAACCAGCTGAGACAGGGAGGGTGCCGGCCATCATCAATGGCCAGCAGTGGCTCACTGATGGCCGGCAGGGCTTCACCAGTGGCCGGCAGGAGCAAAGCAATGGCCGGCAGTGCACCAAGAAGGTCACTCTGAAAGGACCCGGCCAAGGTCCAAAAATGGGGCAGAAAAGATACAAGGTCCGGGAAGCTCGAACCGGTGACGTTCCGCCGTGACATTCGAGTACTCGGCGAGCAGTCGAACTAGTTGTTGGGTGTACCTGCAAGCACAACCAAGTCCCAAGGACGGTTAAAAATGGGGTGTCTACAGATGGACTCCATTATAATTAAGTTGGTCGGAGTGTCTTACGTGAAAGTCTCAAAATTATACATAGGTGCCTAGCCCGCGGACGAAATATCCGTAAAATGGCAATTGTAGTGCTTGTATAGCCTAACGTTTACATGGGTCTCGTTTGACGGCTGCCCGCGGACGAAATATTCATGAAATGGAAGTTTGAAGTATTTATTTGTATGTGTTGTATGATTTGAAAACCATTGAGTTGTAACCTCAATTTGGTTGTTGAGAAATAATGAAATTGACTCAAGAATTGAGAAAGATAAGTGAACGGCATATGAATTGAAAGAAAATGGATTAAGACTTGAATTTGATATCTTATGAGTATATACATTCGTGAAAGTTTTACCCCAAGCATTGTATATGCACTTTGTACTTATATCTCTGCTAAACCTCATATATTGTGTTAGATGATTCCTACTAGGCTGTGGCTCACCCTATTTGGGAAAAACATTTTTGGGTAATGATGGGACGTCTCCACCAAGGCAATAGCGTGGGAGAGATTTTCGGGAGTAAGAGTTTCTTATTTTGATTGTATATTTTTGTAAAGTCAAAGGCTTAAGATGTAATGAGCGAAACTCACTTTTGTTATAACCAAGTCAAGGCTTGAAAAGGTGTAAGCCAATAGGGCATTTATTTATGTTAAACTCTTTTGTATCTTTAACTTCATGTAATGAAAAGACTATTTACTTTGATTTATGTAGTTATTAACACATATTTGGGTTGCATTTATTACGTTATTTTTTGGGGCGTTACCGAAGTTGCTAGTAAGTTTGAACACTAGTCTTGATTGTAAAATTGACAAACTCTAATGAACTCAATTAAACTAATTATAGCTAGTTTGTTTACTATTATATAATATATATCATATTTCTTGTTACATAAAATATTGGCCAAAATTCATTTCACTGGTATGATTTTTTAGCACTTTATCCCCTTGTCTTTTAAAAATAGGCATATGCCCCCATGTGATTTTGGACTAAAATGCAACCATTAACACCATTAATTATAGATGTAAAATGATTATAATACCCTCAAACCCTATATTTTTTGTTATTTTCTTTGTCTCTCATCTCTTGTACACATAATTTATAGCGTCTAGTATTAATTCAATTAAATTACAATTAATTATAAATTCTTAATTATTTATTGTAATTGTTAAATTTGTATTCTAATTCTAATTTAATTATGTTTTATATCACAATTAATCCTAAATATTTAACTTTTTATTGTAATTACTAACTTTTTAATCCAATTTTAATTTAATTATATTTTAGATCACAATCAATCCTAAATTCTTAATTATTTTTTTATAATTTCTAACATGTTAATCTAATTTTAATTTAATTACATTTTAGATCAATTCTTATATTTTAAATCAGTTCTTAATTATATTTTATATTTTAGATAAATTCTTAATTATATTTTTATTTTATTTTAATTAACATATTAATCTAACTTTAGGTTTGGAGAGAATGGGAATAAAATTGTCCTTTTGTTGTATTAATTCATTCTAATTTTTCATAAAACAAAACCCACTCTATAATATGGTGTGTATAATACACCATCCGTTAGTTTAGATTAAAAAATTAATGGTTAGGATTTTAATCCAAAAATCACATGGGACTTTTTTGGCTATATTTGAACGATAAGGGGTAGTAAAGTGCTCCAGTCTCAAACCATAAGGGAGGAAAAATGAATTTAACCTTAAAATGTTTATACGTTGTAAAATCAAAGCATATTGGTTATATAGATTTAACGATTCGATCACGGTTTCAAGTTTTCAAGAATTGTAAGAGCCGATTTGATTTTTGGTTTGCTCTAAAATTGAACCAATCTAATTCATGAACACCCTAAGCACAAATAAGTTGCACCAAACAATAGTCTTGCAAACAACTTCAGCATTGAGAGGATTAGAAATCAGAGGAAGAATACTCACTCTGGATGAAGCTCCACAAGTTGCCTGAAAATTTTGGCGAAAAAATTACGTTAGTCAACCTAAAATTGCAAAAACTACTGGGAATTAAAAAAGATCAAGCCGACCACATCGGTATTTAATTTTCACAACATTATCTTGTCCGTCATTAAAATGAAATAAGTGTACTATCAGCCTTCTTGCTCTATCCTGATGGCATCTCCATCAATTTGCCTTAAAATTTATAGCCACTACTTCAGATCTATTATAATATGGAAAATTGATCAGTCACTTATGTGTGAATTTTGCTTCATATATAACTACGAAAATTGTTAGCAAAATTTAATTCACAATTTTATTTTTTTTTTATCAAAATAGAAATTTCCATTAATGTAACCAAACGACACATACAAAGAGGAATCCATCCAAGAGATAAACTTACACCAAGCAAAGGAAAGATGAAAACAAATAACACACAATTCAATTTACAATAAGAAGAAAGAAAGAAATTGTAGCAAAATATCATTTATACATTATTCTCCTCGCATTTTTAACTACAAAAATTACTAACTTAACTTGCATAATCTAGGATTGGATCATTTTTAATTTGAAACCTAATAAAAAATTACACCTAATATAAGAATCAAAGGGCCTAAATTCGAGTAAAAATTTGGAGCTCCTGAGTTTTCTAACCTATGCCAATGGCAAACCCTGTACTATGATATCATTCTATACTGAAATTTTCATTCATTTTATTTTAAATATTTCTTTAATTATTTCTCTCAAGCATGTGTGAAATTGGAATAAACTTCAAAGGTTCGTATACTCCAATGTAAAATGTTTTACTTTAAAACATAATTTTCATGTCCTTATATAGTAAAAACTAATCATTTTTTTATTTTTCGGTGTTTGGCTCAATCCTTGGGAAAAAAATTCGAGAAAATACCCTCAAATAATTGACATGAAAAAAGACTTTCAACAAACCTTTATTAAGAGAGCATAAAACCAGAAATTTGTTTTTCAGTTCAAAATTCTCCTAAATTCTATCCTCAAAGGTCCAAAATTTCAAAAAATTACTCAATGAACAAAATAACAGCAGGTATCCATTGACACATTTTATCGAACAGTTGACAGATAAGGAAAATGGGAGTAAATCTCACGCCCATGAACTGAAATGAGAGAAACTATACATCACAAAAGCAACAAGCTGTTCCAACATCAAAAACTTTCTCTATAACCAAACACTCTTCTTGTATATAATTTAAAAAAACCTTTTTTGGACATTTTCAACTCGGTAGTGTGCTCCTAAAGAAATGGCAGTCAAATTTATATACATTCATTTCAAATAAAAAATGAAAAGATTTGTCATCAAACACAGCATTCTAATTTAATTTTTGTACAAAAATTCTCTTTGGAAATCACTTTTCGGTGTAAAATATTTCTCGGTAAATTTATTTAACTTTTTGTACATCCTAAACATCAAAAAGTATTAAAAATATTTTTGTCCAAACAAATAGAAGCTAAGGGACCAGAAAATTTTACTCACTTAGAAAGGAAGGCTGAAAAGAGCACACATTGGAGCAAGCGGCCGTGACATCCAAAACATCGGCGAAGCAAGATGCTTGTGTTTTGCAACTTTTGTGGGGTAGCGGTGGCGGTGATGGTGGCGGTGTGGTGGTGAGTAACGTTGGTAGTGTGGTGACATCGATAGGATTTTAGTCCGGAAAAATACTTTCCGCCTTCTAAAAGTTGAAAACAATTTCTGTCCAAATAAGTTTGCTTTTTTGTTGACCTTGAAAAATGTTTTTCATTGACTATTGTTTTTTATCATACCCAATGCTCGAAAATATAGAGAACATGTGTGACAGATGGGGAAATTAGTTGGAAAATTCCTCAATTTTTTGCTTTCAATGAGTAGCAAGACTTTCTTGAACAAAGGATAGTAATACTTCATGATCTAAACCTCACAGGTAATACTCTATTTCCAACAAGCCACGTAAGAAAATAAAACAAATTCATTTAGTAGACAAACTACCCTCGGTTTTGTGTTTCTATAATCAGGTATACATATTCAAAAAGAGACCACCAAGTTAAGTATTCCAAGGCCACTCAAAAACACACATTAACCCGTTTAATCAAACTCACATGATTTTTGAGGCAGAGAATGCTGATTGAAGTGTAGTGAGAGCTAAAAGACAAAATTTGATATACAGGTGAGTAGCAGCGTTGCTTCTAAATAAATGTTTCTTGGTGCAATACACTTAACGTAAACTTATATCCATTGTTAAGGAATCCATACAAGCGCCTGATAGAATTGGCAACTAGGTAGGGTCTATGTCGTTTCCATTCTCACTCGGCATCGCCTGTGGATGCATAAAAGTTTTGGGAGGCATCTGAAGAAATTCAATACTTCCTTGGAGCCTCTCTACGACTTTGTTCATGGAAGAACGGTTAATAGGCTTCATTTGTATGCACCATAGAGCTACTACCATCATCTTCTTTACCATCCCCTCTCCTCCTTCGTCGTTTCTCCCATTTTTATGTGTTTTCCATCTATGAATTGGCCATAAACCCACGAAGGGAAATAAATTTGGCTTGAATTAGCTGATGCATTCCAATTCCTCCTCTTGGCTGCTATTTCCATCAACAACATTCCAAAACTATAAACATCAGCTTTAAATGAAACACCTCCAATGTTTTTGTAGAACAATTCTGGGCCCATGTAACCCATGGTTCCTCTTGCTGCAGTGAGAGGCACAATACTATCAACTGTTGGATATAATTTTGCTGGCGCAAAGTCAGAAACTTTTGGAGTGAAATTCTCATCAAGGAGAATGTTGCGAGGCTTTATATCAAAATGCAGGATTTGCATGTCACAATGCAAATATTCAATCCCCCACGTCACTCCAAGAGAGTTACAAACTAAGGAATTTTTTCCTTTTCCAGAAAAGATATACTTCTCAAGAGACCTATTAGGCATGAAGTCATAAATAAGAGCACGCTTAGATCTCTCAGCACAAAATCCAATTAGGTGAACCACATTGACATGATGAATCCTTCCTATGGTGGCTACTTAATTGATGAATTCTTGCCCATCAAATTTAGGCTTACTTAACATCTTAACTACCACAAGAGTGCCACTTCGAAGCTTTCCTTTGGATACAGAACCATAGCCTCCTTCCCCCAACTTGTCCCTAAAACCTTTGGTCATCTTCTTGATATCCGAGTATGAGTACCTAATAGGCGTGAGATTATTTTGACTTTGTAGGAAACCTTCAATGCTATCAAACATCGATAAATGCCTTGTCCTGAACTAATAGATGAAAAATCCAAACACACATGGTGCACATAAAGTCCTTGCTGCTAGGATTACTCCTGTGTAGGTAGACAAAGAAGTAATAAGAAAATATTCTTTTATCCTTCCATTGTCACCTAATTTCCAAAACTTATGTTCAAGTTTTCTTTTATACTGCTGCATTTCATTTTATATTATCTTGTTTTGCATTAAGGGACATTTCTTTTGTATTAAAAGATACCTTTTCATAGTGTTCACTAAATAGAATAAATGTCATACCTATGATAAACAGCAAGAGGAAGATTTGAGCTGTAAGAAAAATGAGCATAGATTCAGCAATGTGACTAAGGCAATTAAAAAGAACAAAAAAATAAATAAAGTGATAACAAGAGCAAGTAAACCTAGCAAAGCATACAATAAGTTCTATAAATCATTCTAATGAACCTAATTAAACTAATTATAGCTAGTTTGTTTACTATTATATAATATATATCATATTTCTTGTTATATAACGGCGCTGTTTGGGAAGCACAAAATAAGGCTATTATAACCTATTTTGACAAATTAGCCCAAAAGCAACACTGTTGCAACCTTTTTCAAAAAAAAAAAAAAAAATTCTGCACAGCCGGCAGTGTAGGCTGTTCCTACACTGTCAGCTACAACCCTTCTCCCATCAATAAGTAAATTACCATTTTACCCCTTGATATCAATTTAAAAAAATATATTTTTAGGGATAAATTTGTCATTTTAAATTTAAACATCATTTCAACACACTTTTCAATACAATAACTCAACTAAAAAATCATCTCATCTTCCCAAACACAAAAACTAAAATAGTCACTAAAATAGCCAAAAAGCCAAATAGCCTACTAAAATAGCCACTTCCCAAACGAGGCCTTTGGACACTGTAGAATTGAACCATACTGATTACATAGATTTAACAATTCGATAAAATGTTATATAAGGATAGGATTGTGCGATTGTTGTCGCAGAGCAGAGTGTAGTTGTTGTTGTTGTCGTCGTCGTCTCCGCCGCAGATTTGTGTGTCGGAATGTAATTGAAGGGGAAGGTGATGTTATGGATGTCTTCGCATGAACTGCCGATGAGCTGCTGGTTTTGATTGATGCCATGGCCAGTTGCTGAAGATAGGAGGACAAGTACAACAAGAAGGGCTCTGCAAAACATAGAAGCCTTCTGCTGAACATATATATATATATATATATAGAGAGAGAGAGAGAGAGAGAGAGAGAGAGAGAGCTGGCAGTATGTTAAGAATAGAGACAATTGTTGCTTGACTGCTTGTTAATTAAATTAAAAAAATGATTAAAATGTTTGAAATTCTCTAATCTTAATCTGAAGGTTCGGGAATGCGTACAATATCAAGCCTTTCAACTTCCAAAAAAAAAGAGGGAAATTTGGCTATAAACCCTTTTTACCTTTCTTTCATTGTTAAAAGGACTAAGAAAAAAATTAAATTTTCTAAACCCCTTCATAATTATAAAATCTTGCATAAAGGACAAAATTCATTATTTAAATATTTTTCAGACTATTATACCCTCAACTAAATCTTCTCACCTTCTCCACCCACTCTCTCTCCACCTTCTTGGTCTCTATGACTCTGGCCAGCCCAAATCGAGTTCATCTAAGCCTAAGATTCATTCAATCTTTGACCTAAAACACTGACCTGGTTCAAGCAATCACAATCTAACCTGTGTATTTGAATTGAAGCTTCGTTTGAAGCTTTAATCTAATTTGCGTCTGTTAAGAAACCAAGGACTTCATCGCAAAATTAATCCGATTCGACAATCAACCCGAATTCAAGCTTCTAGAACTCGCGATTACGAACTAGAGTCCTTCGCGATCTGACCTTGGGTTCTCTCTTGTGACTCGTTGTTCTTTAAGTCAACTTCGATGAGAACTTTGGATTTCAAGTTCTAATTGGAATTGCGATTTCAGTTTGCATCTGGCTTAAAGGTTGCAAACTCTAAGTTCGAACGACTTGCAGATCGACTTCGCTAACTGAATCGAAATCAGACTTGTGTTTGCTATCTTGAAGCGAAATTAGACTCAATTTGAAGCTTCTATTGCAATTTGAAGATCCATCGAGTTCGCAATGACCACGTGGAGAAGAGTGCGGGTGGAGTTGTTTGGTTATACATATTTTTTTAATTTTACTTTCATACAGAGTAAAATTTTACTTTCATACAGAGTAAAATTTTACTTTCATACAGAGTAAAATTTTACTTTCATACAGAGTAAAATTTTACTTTCATACAGAGTAAAATTTTACTTTCATACAGAGTAAAATTTTACTTTCATACAGAGTAAAATTTTACTTTCATACAGAGTAAAATTTTACTTTCATACAGAGTAAAATTTTACTTTCATACAGAGTAAAATTTTACTTTCATACAGAGTAAAATTTTACTTTCATACAGAGTAAAATTTTACTTTCATACAGAGTAAAATTTTACTTTCATACAGAGTAAAATTTTACTTTCATACAGAGTAAAATTTTACTTTCATACAGAGTAAAATTTTACTTTCATACAGAGTAAAATTTTACTTTCATACAGAGTAAAATTTTACTTTCATACAGAGTAAAATTTTACTTTCATACAGAGTAAAATTTTACTTTCATACAGAGTAAAATTTTACTTTCATACAGAGTAAAATTTTACTTTCATACAGAGTAAAATTTTACTTTCATACAGAGTAAAATTTTACTCTGAAATATATAGTGAAGATGACTTAATAGGAGAGCTGATAGATATGAGGGTAATATAGTAAAAGAAACAAGTTTTAAAATATTAGGGGGTTTTGAAAGTACTTATATAATTCTTGTCCTTTTGAAAGACAAATTAGATAGTGAGAGGGCTATCACCAAATCCCCCTATTATGCCATGGTACATATGTATCTTATATTTACGAGCATTCATATCAGTCTCAATAAATTTTGAGTCAAATTATTACTCAAAATTTGTTTTTATATTTTAGCTAGCTTATTTTTTATTTTAAATTCTATTTCACTAAAATATTATGAACAAGAAAGCAAAAATAAGGCCTAAGACAACAACAAATCAACAGCAGAGCAGCAACAACACAAGAGCATCGAAACCACTGAGGGGCGGTAGACCGACCGGGCGGTCGACCGACCGAGCCAAATTTGAGCATTTTCCTTCTTTTCTTACAGGGTACTTACGGGACATCCGACCATGGCTTTTTGGCCCAGAAAATATAATAAAAAATAGAGTAACCTATGAACAGTGTCTCGCTTAATCAGGTGAGATAGCAAAACAAAGTCAAAATGAATGGTTACTATAGAGAGTCTGATGGAGCACGTATTTATAGGTTTTGCTCTCTACAATAGTTTCAAAGTCATTGTAGAGAGCCTGATATCGATGCTCTAAAGAAGAAAATAATATATTTTCATATTTTTTGAATTATAAATAAAAATAAAAATTATCATAATTAAACACAATGTGAGACATAACTAAAAAATTCATGAGTTATAATTAAAAATAATAATATAATTAAAGATGCATATAATATACTATTTTGAACGTGTGTATGTTAGATTTTTCATCATATATATGTGATATTTTTTTATAAATGAAAAACGGTGATGTTTCCTCGGAATAAAAATTAGACTCATTTTTTAAATATAATAATTTGGGAGTCTATTAGAATATTTAAGTTGATTTTTTTTTTCCTTTTCTTTTCATATCTTGTTTGGTTATCAACTAAAAACTAATTATTTCATTTATACATTACTAAGTCTGGATTTGTATACCATTTTCTAATCAAATTACAAGTGTTTCATTTTTATTTTTCAATTAAAGCTTTGTTTGAGATTTAATTTGTTTGCTGAAATTTTAATTTATTTAGCAAAAAAAGAAAAAATGTGTTTAAAATTTTTTTTTATAATTGCATGAAAAAAAAAGGTGAATAATAAGTTTGTATGACTTTTTTCTTATTTTTTTTTAGTAATTTGCTTTTCTTTTTTTTAATACTATTTTAAATCAAAAAATCAAGTTTCCAAACAAGATGTAATTTATGAGGGAAATTTTATGGTGTATACCCTCTAAGGTGTGTACTATATGCACTTTTAGTTATGATTTTTGTGTTTTTAATTATGACATGTGTTGTTAGTTATGACATGTTATGTTGTTAGGGAGTGTTTGGCATAATCTATATAAATATACTTATTTAAGTCGCATCACATTTTTACTGTTCTGTATATCTTTTCATAAAACATAAAAAGTATATAAATCCTCCCAAATACCCCCTTACTTGTGATATTATTTTAATTATGATTTAAGAACTATTTAATTATATCTCATATGATATTTGATTGTAACTCAATTTTTATTTTTATTTTTTTAATTATAACTCTCATAATACTAAATTATGTCATTTATGATGATCACACTCACAAATAACTTGCGTAGTATTTCACGATTAACAAAGATGGGTCACTAATGTTCTATTCACAAAATTTTTCTTACTTGAATAGTTGGATGAATGGTATTTCAAGACTAATTAATAATGAACTATTATTAGATAAAAGGAAATTTTATAATAGGAAAATTAGTGAAACAATCTTTTTTAACTTTGTGTAATAAGAGAGGTATAAGATTTTTTTTATTAGTAAGGTCCCTCGATGAATTTCTCTGTGATTATATCAAAGAAATTTTAAATCAGAAAATTTCTTTGTGTTGGGGTCGAAATTGCTCTGAGTCGGATCAAAATTTCTCTAAATCGAGCACAAATTTCTCTGAGTCAAATTTTATCTATGAAAATGTTTAGGAACCTTAACTATTATAAAACTATTGTATATTATTTATCTTATAAAATCTAAATATCAGGGATCTTAAAAAAAAAAAAAATTCTTCTTAGATTTTATGACCGGTTTGTTTTGAGTTAAATAATATCTAGTTATGACGGCCTCATTTGGCAAGTGAATTTTTTAGCCAAAAAGCTAAAAAATCACTAAA